AGGGACCAGCCCTGACCACAGGCGCAAGGAGTGGGGCGCAAACCCACGCTCGGGGACATCCGACTGGTTTCCGCTCACACCCACAGGCACTGCCCACACGGCTGTGCTTTGCTTCCGACGTGGATCAAGGCAACTGTGAACCTTCAGTGTGAGAGTCGGAGAAGTTCCAGACCCTGAGTTCCACCCCGATGCCAGGCCGAGAACCCTTGCCCAGTGGGGAGCGGCAGCAGAGACCAACCTCCAGGAAGCTCATGACGAGGAAGAACAGCAGCAGGAAGGCCGGCGCGAAGAGCAGGCGGTCCAGGAGCAGCCTCTTGAGCCCTGCCCAGGGCACCTCGGGAGGGATCCAGTGCTCCATGAAGAGGTAGAAGAAGTGGCTCAGCGGCCCTGTGAAGAAGAACCTGAGGCCACAGGGGGAGGGGGAGAGCTGGACCACCTTCTCAGGGCTAGGCTCACCCCCAGACGCCAGGTCCCAAACCCTGCCTCTCTCCGCACTGACCACACAGACCCATGGTCCTGGAAAGTGCGCTTTCTTTGAATCTGCTTCCAGCGTTCCTGTTTGCTTCCAACAGGCCAGACTCGTTCCTGCCTTGGGTTCCTGCCACCTTCACGTGGCCGGCTCCTTCTCAACCCTGTTGGCTTGGAGAGTTCTTTCCTGGTGGCTCTAGATAACAAGCCCCCTGCTGCCCTTGCCACCCTCTCTTCCAGGCCCCATGTGGCTTTCTTCATAGCATTATCACCACATGCCCTGACCTCATTTGTTTAGTTGTACAGTGCCCTCTCTTTGCCCCCAGAAGGTAAAACCGTCACAGGGCAGGATCATGTCTGACTGTTCACTGCTGTGTCTGCAGTGCCTCGGGCAGGGCCGGAGTCCGAGGTGCTCAGCAATAAATAAATAAATGCACCCCCAATCCCACCCCTGGAGTTTTTCCATCAAATCCTTCAGGTAATCAGCCAGGGTGAACCCTGGGGCTGTGCACCTGCTGCCTGCGTTGCTGCTACTCTTTCCAGGGTGTGCAGAGAACTGGGCCCAGCCACAGCATCTGGGACAACAGACCTGCTGCTCCGTAAAATTCAGTAACAGAAACATGGGCAGGGCCTCGGGGATCTTCCAACTTCTGACACTGAAAGCCTTTAAGTTGTCTGTTCTCACCCTGAGGACCAGTGGCCGGGAGCAGGGGTTCTCAGTGGGAGAACAGAAGCCTTGAGGATGGAAAACTGGTTGGGGAGGCCTTCCAGGTGGTTCTGGTACACTCTCCCCTCCCTGGGGTGGGGAATTGCAGCTTTCAATATATATGGAAAAAAGCTGTGATGAGTAAAGTTAACTACTTACAAAAATGGTATCTGTGAATTTTGAAGTTTTTTTTTTTTTTAATATATTTTATTGATTTTTTACAGAGAGGAAGGGAGAGGGATAGAGAGTTAGAAACATTGATCAGCTGCCTCCTGCACACCCCCTACTGGGGATGTGCCTGCAACCAAGGTATATGCATGCCCTTGACCAGAATTGAACCCGGGACCCTTGAGTCTGCAGGCTGACGCTCTATCCACTGAGCCAAACCGGTCAGGGCGGTATTTGTGAATTTTGAATTGGAAAAAAAAATCACTTGTTGCAAAAGGCTTCAAAGTAATCTGTCTGTACAAACACTACTTTTGGCCAGAGAACCCAGGGTGGGTTTAATTGGTAAAACTCCTGAATCTCTGAGCTTTTGCAATTCAACAAGTGGTTCAGAAAGTGGACATTTTTCAGGTCACCTGAATGCTTTTCTGGATGCTTATGCTATGAAAATAACTAACGGGCCGTATATGAGTCTGATTTCCACTTTCATGGGTCTTTGAGTCTTGAGGTTGGCCTCTAGGTTCAGGGGAGTTACTTGCTCTTAGTGTTCTCAGCTCAGCGAAGAGGCCACTCCCACCCATGAAATTAAAAGTAACCATATAAAACTAGAAAATAAGTTAACCTTACCCCCTGTTCTGATTTTCCCCCATGATTACTTCAATGCTTTTTAAAATTATTTTTTCAAATTAGATCATTCCAGAAACTTGATACCTTCGCTTTGTTGCGCTTGGCTCCGCGGTGGAACTCACCCATAAATGGCATATCTGAGGGGCCCACCGACATCTAGCTTTTGAGAGCAGTTTTCTTTTTTCCGCTGCTTAATCATCTGGGCCAGGACGTTCCCAAATGCCGACAAAATGCCACTGTGGACAGACAGGGAGTGAGAAAACGGGAGGACCAGCAGGAGGGCTGTTGTGAGGCCAGGCTGGGGATGGGGGGAGACCAGTTCTCATCAAAGCAGCTGCCATGCAAGGTGCCCGTGTCGAAGGGCGGAGGCAGCAGCAAGATCTCCACTTGGTGGGTGCCAGTGTCAGTATCCTGCTGGTGACACCATAACTGCAAAAGGTGACCGTGTGTGGGAGGTAGGTGACGGGAGGGATCCTTGTGAGGGAAAGTCTCTGTACTTGGACTCCGTTGGTGGATAAAACCTGTACATGTGATAAAGCTATGGAACTAAACACACACACTTGGCAGGTACAAGAAAGGCCGGGGGAGTCCGAGTCTGACCTGGGGACTGTGCCCACGCCAGTGTTCTGGTTGTGAGAGTGTATTAGTTCTGCAAATGTTACCGACGGGGGGAACTGGGCAAGTGTACCGGGATCTCTGTATTGTTCCTCATAACTGCATGTGAGTCTACAGTTATCACAATAAAAATGTCCGTGAAAAAAGAGGCCCGGTGGCTCCAAAGCTTGGTCTATCGCTGACTTTTGAGAAGCTCTCTGAGCCGAAATACCCAAAGGCCCCACTGTGGGCGGTGAGACCTGGATCTGGTCCCTGGCTGCTCCTTGCTCATCCTCTCCCTGCTCACCGGGCAGGTTTCCAGCGACACAGACGCCCCGCTCCCGAGCTTGCTCCTCCCTCAGGACCTTTGCTCTGCTGTGCCCGCTGCCAAAGAGCATTTGCTTCCCTTCTGCCCCGCACCCCTTCATTCCGGCCTCTGTTCAAATGTCCCCTTGGATAAGTTCCCCGCTTTATGTATTTATCTGCCTTTTGTCTAGTTCTTCGCTAAAATGCAACCTCCATGAGGGCCAGGGCCCTACCCACTGTCTAATGCCCGCACACAGGAAGCACGCTGTGCATATTTAGGAAAGGCTGGGTCAATAAAAGGGAACAGGCTTGTAAAATTAGTTAAATGAGGGCAGTGGCCGGGGAGTCGTCTCATAAAAAGTTCAGAGCTGCAAGTTTAACGGTGGAGCTCTGCCAGGACCAACCTGACGACCTCGCCCTCTAACTGACAGGTGAGGGGCCCTCCCCACGGGTCCCTCCGCCCCGGGGGCCGGTCTGCGGGACCCCAGACGTGGTGCTTCCTCTCCCCGGCTCCCGGGTGCCCAGCGTCAGTGCCTACGAGTCACTGTTCCGAGCCGATTGCACCGAACCGCAGGTGCCGAGCTTCCCGTGGGTTCCCGGCCTTTGGGAGCTCGTACACTCGGGGTTTCTCCTTCCTCACTCAGCCCCCGGGAGGCGCCTACTCAGGG